TGGGTTGGTGTGGTGTGTGTGTGGTGTGTGTGTGTGTGTGTGTGTGTGTGTGTGTGTGTGTGTGTGTGTGTGTGTGTGTGTGTGTGTGTGTGTGTGTGTGGTGTGTGTGTGTGTGTGTGTGTGTGTGTGTGTGTGTGTGTGTGTGTGTGTGTGTGTGTGTGTGTGTGTGTGTGTGTGTGTGTGTGTGTTGTGTGTGTTGTGTGTGTGTGTGTGTGTGTGTGGTGTGTGTGTGTGTGTGTGTGTGTGTGTGTGTGTGTGTGTGGTGTGTGTGTGTGTGTGTGTGTGTGTGTGTGTGTGTGTGTGTGTGTGTGTGTGTGTGTGTGTGTGTGTGTGTGTGTGTGTGTGTGTGTGTGTGTGTGTGTGTGTGGTGTGTGTGTGTGTGTGTGTGTGTGTGTGTGTGTGTGTGTGGTGTGTGTGTGTGTGTGTGTGTGTGTGTGTGTGTGTGTGTGTGTGTGTGTGTGTGTGTGTGTGTGTGTGTGTGCGTTGGTGTGTGTGTGTGTATGAGCTTGAAGCATTGCCGTCCACTGCACCGTTCTGTCGTCATGAACCATGACACCCTTCCCACGACGGGGCTACAGTGCCCAGCCGGATGATAGGAAGCGAACGCTTGTTTATCAACAACCATAACGCCCAGTTGTCCTCGAAGGCGTAAGTTGCCACGGACACGAGTACTGCATCAGGGGCAAAGAAAAACGGGAGGGTGTCATTCAGACGGCTCGGAACTAAAGAGCGGAACGGCACGACTCGTGCATAACAGTTCAGAAAGTACCATGCACGGCCAGAATGCAGTGAGAAGTGCTTATTTTCTGGTTGCAACACGCATAAACGCGAGTTGGAAGGCAGCAGAAGTGTTTGACCTGCGTCTGCTTTGCTGGATTGCATATATATGTAAAAGAGAAAGCGAGAACCGTTGAGGCGCCCGCGAATCAAATAAGGAACGAACGGCAATATGGTGAAACATAAGATAAAAGTCAGGCATGGGTCAACAACTACAATCTCAAAGGCCTGTGTGCGTAAGGGTGAAGGAAGACAGATCGACAGGTGTGTGATATAAGGTTAACATAACTTACGAGACAACAGGCATACCCAGGGGCGGGGAACAATCACCATGCTTACGAACGAAGAATGATCCGACGCCTTCCTTTTTATCGTCATTTTCGGTAATCTTGCTTTCAAATTTTGTGAAAGGGCGATTTGCTTTATTAGAATACTGTTTATCGACCTCATCCCGCGCCCTAGTGCAAGGGTCTTGTATGCTGCTGTTCTTCATATACCTATTACGATCAATGCCTATGCATCTTCACATGCCTATCGCAACGACAGCGGGCCATTTTGGCCAGGATTCGCAAAACAGCCAATTTCCATCGAAGCTGAAATTTTGTCTCAATTTTACCAAAAGCGACATTGAAATGAGTGATAAACGTGAAACGTCGGAGAGTTGCACCGAATGGGAATAAAATAACCACCGGATTTTCATTTTTCTAATCGTTTCCGTACGCAAGTTTTCTCGATTGTGAATAAGAAAGCCTAAACGTTATCTCTTAGTCCTTAGCCAATCCAACATTATTAATCCCTTAGTGAAGGGGGAGGGGCGGACACCACTCCCCATATATTTGGAAAGGGGTTAATACCCCTCCTGCCCCACCGCCCCTGTTCCCGTGCCTTTGAGTATAATGAATAGCCAGTGGTCACTACGGCGTTCGAATTCAGACAGTGACCTTACGATACACAGGCAAATCAGTCAGTTCATCAAACTTGCCTCGGTCGATGTAGGTGAGCGTTCGAAAAAGCGCGATCAGAGTGTCTTTTATGATCTCTCCAGGCCCGATGCCAGCATATCTAAAGAATGAGAAGGATACTCAAATGGCAGTGAGAAAATGAGTTTGCAGCTGCCGCACGTCACGTGGCATACTTAACAGGGGAGGAAAAGACCTAACCCGTGCAGCGCATGCACGGGATGAGCCGGCTGTCAACTATGCTTGCCTGAGTTTGGGACATTCCACAGCCACCCAGGGCACGCTGATAATGAGGTCATAGGTAAGCTGCGATTATGACCCGAGCAGATGGACGTGTCCTTGCTCATCTCACCGGAAAATGGGTTTACCCTCCTCAGTTTGCTTATGGGGCTTCGCAGGCACGTGTTGGGTACGCCCTGCGGATGACAGCATAACTGCTTTCCTTACTCTCGATCGTGGCCTCGGGAGAAATTCCGCCAACTGCTCTTTTACAACGTGGATGGCTGTTTGCTTACGATGCCGTTTACGCTGCTGCGTCTTCAACGAAGTGTTCGGATCGTGTGTCTGACCAGCACCCTCACCAGATTACGGTCACAAACACTGACGGCTTGTCCGGCGCCTCTCCCGGGAGGCCGGTCCCGCCCCAGCGGCTGTAAGCACCGAGCGATCCGTGGGAGGCATTGCTGATTGATACTGTGCATATATCAAGCAGACGGCTGGCAGGCAGCTCGCCGACGCCGACGAGCGTGGAGGTCACTGGTTTCGTTACCCGTCATCTGTCTCAGCCCAGGTGCAACAAATCACATAGCCGACGCATTGTGATGTCAATAACATAGCCATGGTATTAAGGGACGACGCGCGCGTCGATAAACAGCTACGGTGTCGATTGAAAGAGTCATTTGTTCGCCATCCCTTCCTCTCAGACCAATGTAGTTTCCGAGCCGCATGAAATTGTCCGTTTTTCCTTTACTTTATGGGGCACTTGATTTCGCCAATGTCTCGCCCGATCTTGCAAACTGTACTAAAATATTCCGGAGATTTTGTACGCGAAAAACTTCGTTTATTAGCGAGCGCGCTGAAAAAGGCACCCGACACATTGGGCTCCAAACAGGCTACTCAGAAATTATCTGAGACGCAGGGCGCGAGGGCTGGCCATTGGGCTGGGCGGTTCTGAACAGGCCAGAACGAAGGATTTCGTGAGTCGACCAGGTGTGGCAGGGAAAAGGACATCCTCCATGGTCTCCAATCTATGTGGCAGCCAGGTGGGCGAGCAGACGGCGTGCCGAGTACTTAGATCTACGGACAGATCGGACTCGCCGCACACATGCAAACTACCTGAAACTGACATCTAAAATTAAACTACCACAGATTACTTAACTATCCACTTCTGAATCGGAAATGGATACACATGCAGACTGGTGTGGCCGTACGCATCTATACCGAGACGAGTTATGTCTTGCGATATTTCATGTTGCATTGCCGTACGCTGTGTTGGTTCTATTTTCCAACGGGAGTAAATGTAATCCCTCTGATCAGGATGGTTGGGTGCGCCCCTGGTGACCAATCAGCGGGTCGTGGCTCGACCCTCCGCCGGGGCCGATTCTAGTCCTGAGCGCTCGCGGGCCCTTTGGTCACCGGGTTATTAAGTTGCTTTCAAAAGTGCGTCATTTGTATACATGCATGTGGACATGTAAATGAGTCCCCGTTTGCACACAAATTGGCCTTTTGTGGAATGTAAAGGATTTCCTCTGCGAACCTGCATGGAGTTGCCTTGTGGCTTTTGGTCTCATTTGTCCCGACCGAAGTGCACCACTGCAACAAGCCTGAGGCTATGGATTGGCCAGTGGAATCCAGGTATGGTCGGATTAGGACTCTTGCTATAGACCCTAAAAGACTTCATGATTGCCATAGACAGGCTGATTCCACTCTGAATTGTTTGGACGGAATTTTGTTGCCCAAAACATCGCTGTTAATTATGATGTAATACCTAACACTTTCACACGCCTCCAGTGCAGGAGAAAATTGGACCGCCGCCGAAAAGGGCTGTTGAGTTCCAACACTTAGGCACATCCCGTGTAAAGCCCTAGTTGCGTAAAACTAACCCTCGACGCTTTTAAGTCAACGAACGACACGTTAAGGTCTTATACAAAAGGGGTAATACAGACGCCTGGTGTCGGCAATTGCTGGACTGCGTTAAGTTACGCGAAGTCTCGTAAGACCGGTGTTAAGGTGACCGGCTCTGTAAAAAGGTGCGAAAAAATTTGTTTCACAGGTACAAGTTAATGCATTGCTACACGCTGACCACAAATATGGTTTCAAAAATGTCCCGTCCTCTAGTTTTTTTCTCTTTTCACATCGCATGGAACGCACGATAGCATTACGAGTAGGTAAAATTTGGTAATAATGTAGTCGCAACATATCCTAATTTCTGGCGGCATTACCATCAAATGAGCTCAATGAGACGCCAGCATCAGTCAATACCAGACGTATTGTTACCGTAGCGTCTCTCTATGCTTGTAGCAGCCTGTTGCGCCCCTTTTGGTCGAATTCATGCCCCCCTCGCCCCCCCCCCCCCCCAGCCACTCACCGGCGGATATTTTTGGCGGCACTCATTGGTGTATGCATGGCCTGTATTATTTTGCTATGCCTACGATATATCTATATCTTGGAAGTGAATGGAAAAACATTGGCATGGTAAACAGCATTTTCCCATTTATGAATTGCATGTGCTCCAAACAGCTGTGCCCCCCGTCCATTGACCGTACATTGACCAGGCCGCCTCCACCCGTCACGGGCGCGGGCGGCTTGGCGCGGGGTGAGCGTCTGGTCGAAACACCCACTCCATGATTAACGGCCGAAATTCTATCATTGACGACTTTCACGTAGAATAATGAACCCTTCGCGCTTTAAATGTGCGTGGTGAACTATTTTGCGCTTTAGAACAAATAAGTTTTACGACTTACTTATGACGCTGAAATGAGCACCAAGCATGCGTATTTCAAACAGTTTTGAATTTGGGCTTGGTGGTGACATGGAGTGCGTCGCCTTCTTATATCATTTTGCCTGAATACTGTCAATTTCGTTTACGTTTCCTCCTGCTATGATATGAAAGTAGGCCACGCTAAGCGCCCGTTAGTGGAAGTTGTGATATGAATTCGACAAAAGTCAGATTCACATGATGGAGGCGCCGTTCACACAAAAATGGGTCAGCCACACACAAATTGGTATTCGGATTTGCCAGCCTCCACTACATAATTTACTTTCTTGAGCTTGCGTCATTGAGAGAGCCATGATGGTGAAGTGTGAAAAAGATGAGATGATGGCGGTAGGTCACGATCACGAGCCGGTGAGAAACTGTGAGGTGTGTCAGTTGGTGAGCATTCGAGACGGATTTCACTTCCCGTGGCTCGGAAAGATAAAGCGCAGGCAACCATGAGAAGGTTATGTAGTGAGGAACACAGCCTGAAAAAGACAAGGAAATGCTGTGGTGTGGCTGGTATGAAAGCGCTATTCAGCATAATCAACACATCTGCCCAGCTGAGCGTGTCATGCTACCATGTAAAGACCATGGACTTTTGACAGCCCAGACGATGCTGAAGACAGTTGATGTTTATAGATGGCCTTTGCAGCAAGACCACGGCGCGATGGCAGAAGCGGGATGATCAGAGGGGCAGCGCCAAGCCGTGAAGCGATTGCTCAGGATGCCGGAGGCGCCCGGGTCCAAGCTGCTTCCAGTCTGGACGCCATGCACAAACCACTGTTACTGTTGACGGAAAGGTTTGTAATAAACCTGATTAGAATAGCTGTTTGCGTGGACGCCAAACCTACAACGTTGTATTTCTTCCGATGAACATCACGCGGATGCATTAACAAGGATTCGTATAGGTATGCTATGAACAGTATTGCTCTCAGATTTGTGAACCGTTGCAGTTGGCAGATGATGTAAACAATTATCCGTCAATTTTGATGCCGTGGTCGCCATTCTTTTTAATTTTTCTCCTTGTCCACTTTTTATCGGCGAATATATGAAGTGGATGCTGTGACCAGGTGTCCCACCCTCTTACGGCCGCTAACCACTTCTCACGTATAGCTGTTCGTAACACACACAGTTCATCAATAGAGCGGTACTCTTACCAAGCATCTTTCATTCAATCCCAAGACATAAAAGCTCTTTCATTTAATCCCAAGACATAAAAATATGGTTCGTATGGATATATCATGCACACCATGTGTGCACCAATGTGTGCCACCAAGAATTTCCGCCGGATGAGGGACGAGGGGGGGGGGGGAAGGCACATAACCAGGCCAGAAGGGGTGCTAGATGTTTGTAGTAGGAGCACAACTCCCCAGGTCCACGGTTACAGCGTCTCTGGCGTTGAGGACGCACGGCCAGTGAATTATGCATATGTTTCTTGACCACACTGTCCGTTTGCTGTCGTGCCTTTCATGCAAAAACCGTGAAAGGTAAAATCATTGAAAGGCCAGGATATCCACAGAAATTTCGATATTGCAGCTTTTGAGATGATATTCGTGCTCAACGCGCACAAACACATCGAAATAGACCTAGGGATAACTACTTTTCGAAACTGTTTGCTCTATTGGTCGCCCTAAAATACCTTTCAACTCATTTTTTTTCTCTCAAAAGTGCGATAATTGCCCAATTTCAAGCAGAATTTTGCGCACCCTCGGCACGTCAAAATATGTGACAGACTAACTCTGATGCTGTTAACGGCAGCGACTGTATCTAATTGGCGTTTGTTTAGCTGTGCGTAAAATAAGAAGGTGGAGGAACTGGCGTATTGTTAAACAGTCCTGTGTCCCACATTTCCGTGAACGCAATGCAAATCCTTCCAGCACGCCCTCACCGCCTCTCGCCCCAGCAGTTTTTTATTTTTATTTTTGCCTTTTTATTTAAATTCATTCGCCCTCATTTCATTCTGAGCCCAAACCGAGACCCCATTCATTCCTCTCCTTTCAGTGGAAAAACCCAGCTGAGGAAGGCATGCTGGCTGGCGGGGTGCGGTGAAAGACTGCTAGCAGGGTCACAGGTGTCGCGCCAGGCCTGGGAGAAAAGCCCACACAGCCAGGGTGCCGGAGTGACAAAAAAACTAGCTCGCGCACATGTTTTGTGATGCTTCCTTCATTCATTCAACGATCACCCATATTTTACAGGACATGGCAGAAGTAACACCTATGAACACAACTGAACCTCAATGGGAGCTCCAGCAAAGAACATACTGCGTAAAACATTACAGGACAGGCTGGTTCAAGAAAACCCACTTCCATGCATCAGTTAGAATGTGAGAAGCCCCTCCAAGAGCAGAATTCCGAACAGGGTGGCTCACTTCGAGAAGTGTGGGACCGTGGAGAACCTCAGTGCAGCCACTGAAAACCGCCAGGTCACTCAGGACACCTCAGGAGGCGCCCGGCCGAGTTGGTCGAGAGCGCGAGAGTCAGTTCAGCAGAGTTCGAGACGCTCTGTATGCAAGCGAAGCCAGTCCGTCGGTGTATCCCGTGAGACCCACAGCAGAGTGCGAGTGAACGATGTACGGAATACTTACCCACACAGAATGCAGACGAGGCAGACCCTTACAGCCTCAGACCAGGAGCAGAGACAAATAGGAGTCCATTTCTCGGTCGGCTTGTAAGGACGTCATAGGAAACTTTGTGCTGTGCCCCAAGAAATGCACGAAGCTAAATGGCGGTCATCTCGAACACATGCTCTAGAATGGGGAAGAAAAAACAGACTCTCACTTGTTGATATGATGATTTTAAACACAATAAGCTAGTCATAACCAAGTTTCATTCAGTTCTGACAGAAAACGAAGAAATTAGGCCTATCGAAATTTAGGAACCGTTTTTTTGGGTCACCCTGTATATGGTGGAGAACATCCTGACATTTTCGTTTGGAGAGCGGGGCGTACAGGATTTTCGTAAGCGAACGCTGCCTCAGGGTGACCTGAATACTGGGTCTCACACCCTGGTGCCGCCTGCCACCGGCTACAATTATGCATGTATTCAGCTGCCCCGACTGTCGAGCCTGTTCATCTTTGAGTTTCGTAGTGAAGGGAAAAAAATCCTTCCCGAGATCGAGCTTAATTAAACCCGACGCTCGGAAGTGCTGAGGGTGGAAAAGCCTGCTTTGTGACGGAGCCTGTTATGATATAGGGCTGATGTCTCTGCGTGCCCAGCCGAGGCAGCATCCTGACATTAATCGAATAACAGCGTGCATATGTGTCCGTTGTGTGTGGACTAACTGACAATTGCGGCGATGAACGAGCCTTCCGGTACCACGTCAAGGTAAACCCGACCCGCGTTTCGGTGCTGGGCGTGGGCGTCATGGCCATTTTATGCCATATGCGTTCAGCCATTAACGACAATTTTGTCTGTGTGGAGCCTGGGCGGCGGCAAAAAATCTTTGACTACCCTTGCTAGTCACTGAAAAATGAGATCAGCACATTTTGGCTTGGGAAAAACGGGTAATCAAATAGGCAAGAAAGCGAATAGGCGCTGTCGGTATTCTTGCACACACGCGCACGCGAGCTCATGCATAAAATGCAGATTCAACGGCTTTGGGACGTTGTTTCAGGGTTGACGCTCAAATTTCGGCGACCCGAGTAACATCTAATCAGCAACACACTTGTCAAAGTCGCAACGACGTCGGCGTTCGACCAGGAAGCGACCAATGTCGTGTTTCCCGAAACCGATCTGGAACGCAACACGTTGACACCTAAACCGGCAGGCTTGGGCCGTGAAATTGACATCGACGGAGAAACCAGTTATCGATGACCAGTACTCACCCAAACTACTGACATTTTTCCAAATACGTTGGTCGCAATCGCCCAGCACGTCAATCGCTGCAGAAACCCCGTCTTCGTTGGTACAAAATGACGCGTCCATTTGCCGGCCCGTCGCCGACTAGGCATTGGCATTGAAGTCGGCGAGCTCGTACTGGCGGTTTTCCTCGCGACGGATGGTCATGCGCGTCCTCTGCGAATTTCGCAGCCGAGGATCGCAGCTCAGCATGCGGACGTTGACCTCACGACATCGAGTGCAATAGTTTCACTGGTTAACCCTCGCCTGATGGAACCATTTTTACAGCACCGCCATGCGGGAGTGGAAGGGCCTGACAGGCTCCCTAGTAACTTTTGAACTGATACAGGTAGGGAAACGGGACGAAAACCAGCGTACTGCTCGTTGCCTAAGCTATCTAAGTGTGTTCAGTTTTTTTAGTTACAGGTCAATAGGTGACCTTACAGATCATGGCATTAGCCTTTAAACGTTCATGCGGGTAATCACCCAGATGTTGTTGCACCCCATGAAATTATATTTTAAACTCAAAAAGGTATAACTGGCAAACTGTTCCACAAAAAACTCCCTTAGCAACAGCGTCTTCTTAGCTGCCTTCCAGTTCAGGTAATAAAATGGTTTTGGGGTTTGGCTCGTATAAGTGACTTCACAGGCCACGGAAGCATCACCAATGCCGACACGCCCACAGAAGTGCGTGATGTAGAGTCCCTCTACCGGCAGCTGTCATGCTGAACAAGACGGGTTGGCGGGGAAGCGACCGCTGGAATGATGGTGGTATGAACAATCCAACAGTACTTGTTTTC